GAGCTCTTGGGTTGTATTCCTTCAGGACTGTTTGGTGCTGGATGTGTAGCCCCTGCATGGTCTCCTTTGTGGTGTTTATTTGCTAGACTCTGTTGTAGATCCAGTTTCTTTCATTGGGATATAGAAGAAAATAATCATGACCAGTTTTTTTAAATATATATTTTATTGATTTTTTTACAGAGAGGAAGGGAGAGGGATAGAGGGTTAGAAACCTCAATGAGAGAGAAACATCTATCAGCTGCCTCCTGCACACCCCCTACTGGGCATGTGCCCGCAACCATGGTACATGCCCTTGACCGGAATAGAAACTGGGACCCTTCAGTCCGCAGGCCAATGCTTCATCCACTGAGCCAAACCAGTCAGGGTGATGACCAGGTTTTTTTAGGTAAGATTGTTGATAAATATTAGGGTGGAATTGAAATTTTGGAAATTTAATTATGGAAAATCTTTGTGTTGTTTTATTTTTATTTAATTTCTTTATTGTTGAAAGTATTATATATGTCTTCCTTTTTCCTCCATTGACCTCTCCTGGCTGCTCCCACCTCACAGCACATGCCCTCACCCCCCTACTGTCTGTGTCCATTGGTTAAGCTTATATGCATAAATACAAGTCTTTTAGTTGGTCTCTTACCCCCACCCCTTCCCTCTGAGGTTTGACAGTTTGTTCAATTTTTCTATGTCACTGGAACAACTTTTATGTTGTTCATTATATTCCACAAATGAGTGAGATCATGTGATATTTATCCTTCTCTGACTGGCTTATTTCACTTACCATGATGGTCTGCAGATCAACCTTCGTTGTTGCAAATGGTAAGCGTTCTTTCTTTTTTACAGCAGTGTAGTATTCCATTGTGTAGAATCTCAATGTACCATATCTTTTTAATACACTCATCTGCTGATGGGCACATAGGCTACTGCCAAATCTTATTTATTGTATATTGTGCTACTATGAACATAGGGATGCATATATCCTTTCTGATTGGTGTTTCTGAGTTTTTGGGACATATTCCTAGAAGTAGGTTTTCTGGGGCATGTGGGAGTTCCATTTTTAATTTTTTGAGGAAACTCCATACTGTTTTCCACAGTGGCTGCACAAGTCTGCATTCCCACCAGCAGAGTATAAGGGTTCCTTTTTCTCTGCATCCTCTCCAGTACTTGTTATTTGTTGATTTGTTGATGATAGCCATTCTGAAAGGTGTGAGATGGAACCTCATTTTCATATTGATTTGCCTCTCTCAGATGATTAGTGACTTTGAGCATTTTTTCATATTCTCTTTAAAGAAGTGTCCATTTAGGTCCTTTGCTTTTCTCCTAGTTTCCATTGTCCTAGGAGATGTGTTGGTGTTGTGGAGTGTGAGCAATGGAATGACCAGAACTCCAGACTGATTAAAATTTAGAGAGCCTTTATTGACTGGCCAGTATCTGCTCCTCCACTCATGAAGCCCAAGAGAGAAGCGGCCCTGGCCATCTGCAGAGTCCAATATTTAAAGGGGACAACTACATCCGTGTTCAGGTTCCCATAGCAAGCAAAGCCAAGTTACAAAAGCTAATTGTGTAGTTTTAGCCAAGCTATTCATCATACTCCTGTTATTCATTTGTGGGTAACTTAAAGGTCAGGACTATTCTTAATTTTTATCTGTCTGTTCTTTGTAGGCCGTTGCTCAGATGTGTTGATCTGTTTGTTCTTTGTAGGCCGTTGCTCAGGTGTGTGAGCTCAGTTCCTAAAACTTTGCACAGGCTGTCAAGCTGCAGAGGTGGCTAGGTAATTAAGCAGGCCTAAAATAATTGTTCTACTCTGTAACATTCTCCACTGGTTTTATGGGAGAATCAAATCATTGTTTCTTCTTATTCTTTGGTAGTGAGTTCTTAGGACCATTAATTTGACTGCTTGTATTCTACTTTGAATATAATTCATTAAGCAGTTCAGTATGCACGGGCCAAAAGTTAGTGTTAGTAGTAGGAGTACTAATAGCCCAGCTAAGGCGGTTAGGAGAGTGGTGAGCCAGGGGGACCAGGAGAAGAGGTTTTCATACCAGTTTCCTTCAGACTTTCTCCTTTCCCCTCTATCTTGTAGCCTTTTTCTTAGCTGACTGAGGCTCTCCCTGATAACTCCTGAGTGGTTAGTATAAAAACAACAGGTCTCCCCTTGGGCCATGCATAGTCCTCCCTGTTTTAGAAATAACAGGTCGAGCCCTGTCCTATTTTGTAATACTACCTCGGCTAAGGAACTGAGGGAATCTTCAAGTCTTTCTACATTTTGCTCTAATGTGCTCAGATCTTGATCTACTTGGCTGCTGATGGCCTTAAAATTCTGATTTCCTGTTCCTAGAGCTGCTGTTCCCACAGCAGTGGAGCCGGCAACCCCTAACCCTACTAAAAGGGGAATTAATACCGGGCCATTTTTCTTTGCCTCCGAGCAGACCTAAATGTTCTCTCCCTCCCTTCCCAGAGTAATAGTATACCTGAGGCAAGATGTGACTGAGGATGCATAGAGAAGGCTCCCCAGGGGAGATGAGAGTCAAGGGGGAAATACAAGGGGTGATACCGGAGGTACAGGCAAACCAGGTTCCCTGTACATTGGATGGCCCATTGTTCAGTGGTCTTTGGATTCCGCTTTTTTTACTTGAGTTAGGTGAATCCAGTGTCTCTTTTTGGCAACCTTTATGGCCAATGGGGTGCTGAGGATGACAGTGAAGGGCCCAGTCCACCTGGCTTCCAGCGATGATGGCGTGTGCCTCTGAACCCACACCAGGTCTCCCTGTTAAAAGAGAGGTGGTTCAGGCCTGGTCCCGGAGGGTGGGTCTCAGTGAGCCTTTTAGACCAGCTGGTGGTTAAGCCTGGAGCTCAACTGTAAAGCCTGTAAGGACTTCAGGAGGTTATGATTAGAAAGGGATGCTAATATTTATTTCCCTAGCTTGGGAAGTAGCGGTGGGGGTTGGCCAAACAGAATCTCAAAAAGGGTGAGGCCCTTTACATATGGGGTGCAACGGGCCCAGAGTAGGGCAAAAGGGAGGAGGCTTACCCATTTTTCTCCATTTTAGTTTTGTCAGGGTTTCCTTCAAGGTCTGATTTATCCTTTCTACCTGTCCAGAGCTCTGAGGTCTATAGATACAGTGTAATTTCCAATTTATACCTAGTATCTTTGCCAATAACTGAGTGATGTGGGCAATGAATGCCTGGCCATTTTCGGACCCCATTGCAACAGGTAGGCCAAACCTGGGGACAAGTTCTGAGATTGACTTCTTTACTACTACTTGTGCTGTTTCAGACTTGGTAGGGAAAGCCTCTGGCCATCTTGAGAATGTATGGACAAAAACCAGCAGGTAGCGATATCCTCCCAGACCTGGGGGTAATTCTGTAAAGTCTACTTCTCAATGCTCTCCACGACTTTTCGCTCTGAGTCTGGTTCCCTCGACTAAAAGGGACCACTTCCCGGGATTTACCTGTGCAAAGATGTGACATCTCTTTGCGATATCATTTGAGACCTGAAAGAGCTTAGGAATATCATAATCTCATTTAAGCAGTTCTACCAGCTTGGTTCCCCCAAGATGAGTACTCTGATGGATCTGGGAAATGAGTTCCTTTCCCAGGGCCTCTGGAACAAGCAGCCTCTGTTCTGGCAATTCTTTCCATCTCCAGATGTTTCTTTTGCCTGGAGTCTTTTCCCCAGTGCAGTAGCCTCCTCCGAGTAGACTGGAGTCTCCTCAAAGACCCTTGCAGGGAGGGTTGGTAAAATACGGAGGGGCCCCATTGGTTTTTGGGTGACTTCTCTGGCTGTTTTATCTGCAAAGGCATTTCCCTGTGCCTCCGGGGTGTCAGTTGACTGATTTCCTTTGCAGTGTATGACTGCCACCGCCTTTGGCATCCAAAGGGCTGCAAGGAGGGTAAGGATTTCTGGGACATTTTTGATTTCCTTCCCTCCTGACATTAGGAGTCCCTTTCTTGGTATAAGGCCCCGTGAACATGAACAGTGGCAAAAGCATATCGGCTGTCCATGTATATAGTCACTGTCTTTCCCTCCCCCACCATAGTGCTTGGGTGAGGGCTATTAGCTCTGCCTTCTGAGCTGATGTCCCACGCCCTAGTGCCTGTGCCCAGATTACCTTGTCAGCTGTCACAACCGCTGCTCCTGCATACCTCGTCCCTTCAACCACAAAGCTGCTTCCATCAGTGTATACAGGGTCTCATCAGGGTCTGGCAGGGGCTGGCCAGTCAGGTCCTCTCGAAGGTTCTTAAGCGAGGACAGGGTTTCAGTGCAGTCATGGAGGGGCTGCTCAGGGTCATCATCAGGCAACAAGGTAGCAGGGTTAAGTGCCGCCGTTTTGAGAAAACTGACTCGAGGGGGATCAAGCAAGAGTACCTGATATTGGGTGATCCAAGTATTCGAGAGCCAGTGCTGTGGTGGGCTTTACAATAGTGCCTCCATGGAATGTGGAGATACTACTTGCACGTCCTGCCCGAGGGTGAGTTTTGAGGCTTCCTTTACCTATACAGTTGTAGCTGCTACTGCTCTCAAACACCCTGGCCACCCTGCAGCCACAGGGTCCAGCCGCTTGGATAACTATGCCACAGGCCTTTTCCATTGTCCCAGGGATTGGGTTAACACCCCCTTTGCTATTCCCCAAGCCTCTGCCAAATGTAAGTGAAATGGCTTTGTGAGGTCTGGCAGGGCTAACGTTGGTGCGCTGACTAAGGCTTGTTTAAGATCTTGAAAAGCCTTAGTTTCAATTTCAGTCCAGTTTAGTTTCCCAGTCTTTCCCCAGTGCAGGGAACAGGCTCAGGAGGGTATATGGGTTAGGCACTGTGTGATGTATAGTTTCTACCCTCTTATTGACCTCTCTTAAATCCTGAACTGGTTTGAAGTCCTCTGTTCCTGGTTTCTGTACAGGAAGCAATGGGGTATTCCACAGGGAGAGGCAAGGGACTAAGATTCCTGCTTTTTTCAGTCTTTTTATGTGGACTTCAATGCCTCTTCGGGCCTTTTGGCTTATTGGATATTGCTAAACCTGTACTGGAATTGCTGTGCTGGAGAGTTGTACCACAGTCAGGACTCTGTGGACCGCCAGTCCTGGGGGGTTACTCTCTGCCCATACTCCAGGTATTTTCTGTTGCAGCTCTTGGAGTAATGGGGCATCTGGGACCGGATTGTTGTTCTCGGTTCCCTCAGTGAGGAGATATTCCTCGCTCAAGGGGCAAGTCAAAAGCACAGCCCCTGGTCTCTGATTAAAAGTCACTGTAGCCGTCTCCTCCTGGAAGGAGATGGTAGCCTGCAGTTTGCTGAGAAGGTCCCGTCTCAGTAGAGGGTACGGGCACTCTGGCATCACTAAGAATGAGGGGTCACTGTCCCGGCCCCCAGGTTGGTCCTCTTGCATGGCAGTTACCAGAACCTTTGCCATTTTCCGAATCTGCACAGTCTCTGAATCTTCTCTATTGTTAAATGCCAATTCCGACAGCACTTTTCCCTTAAAGCCTTCTAACTTTTGTAATTTCTTTCTAATGTCTGGGGCCGACTGGGACACAAAAGCGATGTTTACTGCCGGCCAATTCTCAGGCGCATCAGGGTCTATTGGTGTGTAGAGCCTGTTGGCTTCACACAGGCGCTCTAGAAAAGTGGCGGGAGATTCATTCGGTCCCTGTACAGTTTGAGTTACCTTAGACAAATTGGTGGGTTTCCGCACAGCTGCTCGGATTCCCCTCAGCAGAGTCTGGTGATACTGATCGAGAGCCTCCTTACCTCGCTCCGTGTTGGGGTCCCATGAGGGGCGGGAGAGTGGGAAGATAGCCTCGAGCCGAGCCATGCTGACTCTGAAGAGGGTTGGCCATCGGGGCCAAGAACCAATTTCCTTCCCTCTGACCTAACTCGCTCTCTCTCCTCCGAGGAGAAAAGGGTCTGGAGGAGCTGTTGGCAATCATCCCTAGTGGGCTGGTGGGTGAAAAAGACAGACTCCAAGAGGGAGATTAATCCCTGCAGATTCTGAGAGAAAGAGGGATTCTGATTCTTCCAGTTATAGAGGTCACTGGTCGAAAAAGAGATGTAAACCATAAAAGGCTGTTCCTCCCCCTTGGGGGCGGCCACCTGGCGCAAAGGCAACATTGGGGCTCCAGAGGAGTCTGGAGAGGGGGCTGAATGTGGGGGTCGGTACTCTGCCCCACTTCGGGTATGAGATGGACTCAGAGGATCCTCAGGGGGAGCCGCCATCGGTTCTGACAGATACGGGGGTGGCTCTGCCAGGATGGGGTCCTCTGGCGGAGGTGGGAGAACAAGGGGCTTCCTCTCAGCCTCCCTGGGAGGTTAAGTGAGGAGGACAGTCTGTCTCTGTCCGATTTTCTTTTTCTTTTCTGAGGGTTTTTGGCAATCCCGGAGCCATTTAGGATTTTCAGTTAAGACATCTATCCAAATTTGAATATACACCATTCGGTCTGGGTGCCTGGGGTTTCCAAAAATTATAGCCTGGACCTGATAGGCTAAACCCAAATCGGTCAACCCCCCAGGAGGCCACTTGATCTGCAGGAACATTGGCCATTCACACTCACAGAATTTCTGTAAATCAAAAACGTTAACAGGGGCTCCGTAGCCCTCGGCTCTTCGCTTAAAGTCCTGAAAAATTTTCAAAAAACATTGAAGGGGGGTACAGACAGTACATGAAGCTGATTGACCAATTCTGACAACAAAAAACAAATTGGACACAACAATAGATGCAGACAAGACAAATAACCAGGCTCAGGATCACCAGGCACCGTCGTGCACCAGGATCTGGTCTCAACGGAAGTAGTGCTGCGTCCAGCCTTCTGGAGACCTCTGATGGGCCCACAGAACCCGAATCAGGACTCAAAAGAATTGAGTTTTCTTACTGGTAAGAATCAGATCCAGATGGCTCCAACTGAAGTCAATTAGATAATTTTTGGACAGACCTGCCAAACTCTATCAGTCCCGGGGCTGAGGAACGTCTCTCAGAGATCTCACCCTAGGTCCGGGAGTTTGGATGTCTCCCTTGGATTCTGGTCACGGGACTGGTCAATGGCCGGTTATCTCACTGGGGGCCTCCAACTGTTGTGGAGTGCGAGCGACAGAATGACCAGAACTCCAAACTGATTAAAATTTAGAGAGCCGCCCTAACCTGTTTGGCTCAGTGGATAGAGCATTGGCCTGCAGACTGAAGGGTCCCAGGTTCGATTCCGGTCAAGGGCATGTACCTTGGTTGCGGGCACATCCTCAGTGGGAGGTGTGCAGGAGGAAACTGATCAATGTTTCTCTCTCATCGATGTTTCTAACTCTCTATCCCTCTCCCTCTCTGTAAAAAATCAATAAAATATATTAAAAAATAAAATAAAGTTTAGAGAGCCTTTATTGACTGGCTAGTGTCCGCTCCTCCACTCATGAAGCCCAAGAGAGAAGCGGCCCTGGCCATCTGCAGAGTCCAATATTTAAAGGGGACAACTACATCCATGTTCGGGTTCCCATAGCAAGCAAAGCCAAGTTACAAAAGCTAATTGCGTAGTTTTAGCCAAGCTATTCATCATACTCCTGTTATTCATTTGTGGGTAACTTAAAGGTCAGGACTATTCTTAATTTTTATCTGTCTGTTCTTTGTAGGCTGTTGCTCAGGTGTGTGAGCTCAGTTCTATAAATTGTACAGGCTGTCAAGCTGCTGAGGTGGCTATGTAATTAAGCAGGCCTAAAAAAATTTTCTACTCTGTAACACAGTGAAGGCCCAGAAGGAAGTACAGGGTATGATAGAGACATCTTGTATGATCATAAAAAATACCTGAATAATTATGAACAGGAGTTTGTTAGAAATAGAAACGTTAAAGATCATGCAGGCAGGGATTAAAGAAATAAGGAATGTGTCACTGCAAACTGATGGGAAGGGGATCCCTGTTTCCTACTTGCACATTCTCACAGTGTGGCTGTTCTAGAAGGTAACACCTTCCCAGGTCCAGGGGATCTGCACTTGGACACCTTTGGGGTCATTACTCACATGGCCTCAACATGAAACACCCAAGCTGCATAATCCACTTGGGTCCCATTTATGAAATCTCTCAACACTTACAGGAAAATGTTGACACCCCTTACCCTGGAGCCATGGTGATGGTGTGTCTGTATGAAGAGCCATCATTTCATTGGATCAAGACCCTTTCTCAGTCAAACATTATCATCATCATCATCATCATCACCACCATCATTGCCATCAACACCATTTACTTACTTATAATGGTTTTTCTCATATTCTGTAGACATGATGCTTGTCTACACAGAATGACTTCTTTAGGAAAAGAAAGAAGGCATCTCCTCTGTAGATGTCATTGGGAAATTGAAACCCCAAAGGTTCAACTCAATATGACACAAGACCTTCTAAAAACTGTTGACCTTGGGTAAACTACAGCTTCCGACCAAGATATTGGACCATGACTTCTGTTCAATTCTATCATCACCATCACCACCTCCATCACCATCATCATCATGATCTCCTTTATCATCCTCATCCTCATTTGCTTACTTATAATTATTTTTCTCATTTTCTGTAGACCTGGTTTTTGAACTCACATAATGACACTTTATGTAATTTTTTGTTCATTTTGTATAGTTAAGTACAATAGGTTGCCATACTCTATTTCATATTTTGTTTGACTGCTGAAAACTGATGGCTTATTCTTGCCTCTTCTCCATCTGAAATCTATGAGAAATCAGATAAGAAATCGTGGTTCTGTCATTAGATGTCACTGTGAGAGTGTAACCACACAAGCCCCATAGAAGCAGAAATAGTCGCTCTCCCCCACCACCTCAACAAAATAAAATCTCCTAGCCAGTCTCCTTTACTGGCTCCATTAAAGCATGTCTGACTTGCTGAAAGGCCTTTGCTAAGCTTCTCAGAGATTTCAACTACGTGCATAATAAACATTTCATTTCCCCTTGGGGTTAGTATTTGTCATCAGCCTAGACATCTGCATCAAGCTGCCCTGGTATCACTTACTCTCGGTGCTATTTGAATTATAAGTCAATGTCCTTCACCATCAGGGTCCTTCTTCTCTAGCTTTGAGGTCTCATGACTCTGGTGTCCCCTGTCCAGCACACTCATGTCCTGCTGACTGGCTGGTACCCTGAGCTGTGTGGAGCTGAGTTGCACTGTTGAGTCAGCAGCACCTCTGGAGAGAAATGGGGGACCTGGGTCAGAAAATGATGTTTATTATTTGGGCATGAGAGTGTCTGAAAGAGACTCTCTGTGGTTCATCCACTTGAGAAAGTTGTCTCTGATTACTACAGACTTTTTTTTTAACTCAGAGACATCAGAGGTGTGCAAAATCAGGAATCCAGAGAGGTTCCCTGAGGGAAAGTGTGACATGAAGAGGAAACCACACAGGAAACATCCAAAACCTTCAACTGCACCTGCTGCTGGGATGGTACTTATGTTCAGGGATCCTGAGCGCTCCCTGCAGCTCAGCCCTGCTGCCTCCCTCAGGGAGGTTTGTGTCTGGGCTCACACTGACTTCCCCTCACTGTGTGTCTTGCACAGTAATATAGGGCCGTTTCCTCAGCTCTCCGGCTGTTCATTTGCAGATACAACGTGTTCTTGGTGTTGTCTCTGGAGATGGTGAATCGGCCCTTCACAGAGTTGGCATAGTTTGTGTTACTTCCATCAGGATTCATTCCACATAACCACTCTAGCCCCTTCCCTGGAGCCTGTCGGACCCAGGTCATATGGTAACTACTGAAGGTGAATCCAGAGGCTGCACAGGAGAGTCTCAGAGACCCCCCAGGCTGCACCAAGCCTCCCCCAGACTCCACCAGCTGCCTCTCACACTGGACACCTGCAAACACAAAGACATCTTAGTCAGGAAACTCTCACGCATCCACTTTTTCTTTCTCTCATATCCACTCCCATACTCAGTCTTTCTTTTTCTTCATAAATTACCTCTCAAAATAGCAACAAGAAAAACCCAGATGAGCCCCAACCCCATGGTGAGTGGTCTGTGTTCAGTCCTGATCAGGGAATGGGAACACCTGGGGATCCCGGGGCTAGGCTCCTGTCCCAGAGCTGCAGGGTCGGGGCTGGGCTGGTTTTTATGAGCAGAGGGGCCCCTATTTGCATGTCCTCCTACTATATAGGAAGTTCTGAGGTTGGATGCTGGTACAAATGACACTGTAGCAGAAAGCAACATGTTCAAGAATGCATGTATATTAAATAATTTCCTGCATCTGGCCTATGTTCTTCACACGGGGACCAGTTACTCCAGCTCACCTGTTCAAAAAAAGAGAAGGATTTAAAATGATGGATTCATTCGACAGTCACCAGTAATGAAAAGAAAGAGAAATTAACCTTCACATCTGATAACTAGAATTTCAGCAGGTTCATGTTCAGGAAACAAGAAGTTCCATCTGACACTATTTCCCCTACAAAGTGATCAGAGGAGAAACTAAGACCAGAGTGTGAACCTGAAGCAAGTGGACCAAGTATTGGGGGAGAGAGAAGCGTCTGTGTGGGTCCCTGAGAACTAGAAGCATGAACTATAGAGACACAGACAGAGCTCCTGGGTCCTATTCCTTCAGGGGAGTTTGGTGCTGGATGTGTAGCAGCTACACTACCTCCTTTGTGGTATTTATTC